CAAGCTAAGCGCAGTCAAGGAACTGACTCGTTTTTCCTCCGGTTTCCATTTGCCTTCCATTTGCATTGGTTCACAAGAAACAGAAAGGTCACAGAGCCAGCCCTGCATTTCGCTTCTCAAAAAAGGGGGAGAGTTTCCTCCTAGAAGGATGGACAGTTCCACTTTGTCTTGTCAGAGCAAGCTTGCTGATGACAAAGTTGGAATACCCTTTCGACCTTTGTCGTGCAAAGCAACGGAAAGACAGAGAGGCTCTGCTAAATGGAGCACAACCACAACAAAGGAATGAAGAGAGAGAAAAAGAAGGTACAGAAAGAAACCAACATGTCTTTCCCTTATCTCTTCTCTTCTCCTGTTTCTCATCAGGCGATCCTGCAGATCCAGCTGTAGGGTCGCGGCTGCCCAATGATCTTCCTGCTGCTGGCCCAAGATCGTGAAGAGCCGGGCATAGTGGCGGATCTCACGTCCTGTCGCCGTTCACGTCTGGCGACGGTTGAGGCCGCGACTGTCGCGGCTGCGGCTGCAGACGCCACTTTGGCGAGGTCGGCATCCGATGCTCGGTGGGGTCCTCGACGATCTTTTGCGGTGGCAGCCTTTGCCCTTTGGCGTGAGGGGGCTGCGGCTTCGGCTGCGGCTGCAGCTGTCACGCGGCCCTCTTGCTGTCGAGAGAGGGCCCGCAGCGTGTCGACCACGCCAACCAGGAGGGAGGTCGCGGACGGGCAACTGCTGGTGGTAGGGCTCGCCCTTGGACCAAGGGTACCTCGCGGAAGGCTGAGCAAACAATGCAGCAGCCGTCAGCCTCTGCGTCGCGATGGCGGCAGACCCGGCAAACTTCAGCCATGTTAGCGTGGGAAGGGCAAGGGCAAGGGGTTGCAGAAGGCCTCGTGAAAACGGCTGCGGCGAGCAAGGGTGTTGCAAGTTGTCAGCTCCTGCAAGCGGGGCTTGATTGCACGACACAGTCAGCACATGAAAACTTGCTGCACCCATGACGCAACCTTTCGGGGGGATCCATCTGTAGGGTCGTCGCCGGGGTTTTGGGGGTCCTTGCGTGGAGGGGCCCGGGTCGCGTGGCCTCTGGCTCAGGGTTTTTGCCAGTGGGCGACGCAGGCGTCCACGAGGCGTGGATTTGGGCGGGAGCGTCGGCAAGTGCGAAGTGTGGGGCGCAGCCACTTCGTGCAGCACGCGAAACAAGAGCTCCGACGGGGTATGCCCGGCAGCTGCCGCCAACTCCGCAAGCTCCGTCTCGCCACCCTCCGCCAAGCAAAGTCAAAAGTTCCAGGGCCGCAGCGGTCCAAGCAGGGGCCGGTGAGGAGCGTGTCGCGGTGCGCATCCACACCGCAGCCACCGCGAGTGCACCCAGCAGGAGCCACCCGCAGCAATGGGCACACGGCCCCCAACCATGGGGAAAGTAGCGCGGTGCGGCACCGGCTGCGCACGTGACGGCCTCGCGCGCCAGGAACTTCGCCAGCAGGGGGACGGCGCTCCATGTCCAGACCATGGCCGGAGTAAAAATCTGAACGGGGTTTTATTCAAGACCAAATGTCTTGAGCCAAAATGGCTTGAGCCAAAATGGTTTATTTGTTTAGTTTTTAGGGTTTGGGGTTGTGGGGGTTTACGGTTTAGGACCACCCAAAAACCTATTTCAATCACTATAAGGCCGGCTCAAGGTGCGTTAGGCTCCCTGACACCAACATGCCTAACACGAAAGCTGCCCAACCTCAACCCCCTCGTTCCTTTCCCGGAGCCCTAAAGCCCAAAACCCCAAGCTCTTTTCGCATCTGGTCTCCAAGGAAGACGCAGTAAACCCAAGATCCGACAGACCTGCAAACTCCCTAAGCTCGAAAACACCGCCGAAATCAAAGCCCCAAACCAAAGCCCCGTGTCCCGAAGTCCCGAAACCCCCAAAGCCACCGGAAGCGCTGGAGCCCCGAAGGCCCCCCAAAACCCGAAGCCTCCTCGACGAAGGTCTCCAAACCGAAGTGTCGGCTGTGAGCCTCCAAAAGCTATGCGGCTGAAAGTTGAAAGCCGGGGGCTCGGAGCTTTTAGGGTTTTAGGGTTTTAGGGTTGATGGTTGAGGGTTTAGGGCTTTAGGGTTTTAGGGTTTAGGGTTTCAGGGTTTTTAGGGTTTTGCGTTTAGGGTTTTAGGGTTTAGGAGAACCAGGGTTACTATCAGGGTGCATTAAGGATCCAGGGCGTGGCGGCCAAAACCTTGAGTCGAGAGTTTTCGGGGAAGAAAGATTACCCTGAGCGTTCAAACGCTGGAGTGTAGGGTTGACAGCTTCTAGCGTCGGGGTTGGGGCCTGGGGCCCAGAGTTTGGGATGGTGGCCGGAAGCCAGCAAAGCTCTTTGACTTCAACAAATCCCTCCCGAGAGCCCCAGCGTTCATGCTTGGCTCAGCCCGAAAAAACTCCGCAATCCCCGGGTCTCGAACCCCAAACTCCTACCCGGACCCGACGTCTTAGATGTCGGGATGGCCTGCTTCACAGGCCCCCTGGGCGGGAGTTGGTTCGAATGGCGCGAACCCAGAAGAAGACTACGAAACAGGAGAAACACGAATATTTAGAGCAACGGTATATACCACGACCACGCTAAGACCACGAAGAAGAACAACGAGGACTACAACGATGGCGCTATGACATGAAATGACGACGACGACGACGACGACGACAACGATTATGCTATGACATGAAATGACGACGGCGACGGCGATGACAGTGAAACACACCAAAAGAACGTGTCGGAGTTAACCAAGACAAGACTGAATCATAGACCATCATCATTGAGGAGGCGGCGGAGGAGAGTAACAAGCAACAGTGATGATAGACATCAAGAAAATGTAGTGGCATCTTCATGTTGACGGTACGCGAGCATGATACCAACATTCGCGCCACTCCCCTTACCGTTCCAGGTTCCACCATTTATCATTTATGTCAGCATCAAAATCGTCACAATCGCTGCCGACATCGCCATCGCATTCAAGACAGCATTCATTATCACCACCACCGTAACCACCATGATCATCATCGTCATCATCATCATCATCAATGGACCCTGCGAAAACCATTATCATTGCTGGCCAGCATCAGCACCACCATCAGCAACAGCAACAGTCGCACCATCAGCCGCAGAATTGTCGTCGCCGCCATCATCATATTCATGACCAGCCTAGCAATCGCTGTGAGAACCATAAAGGGCAAACGTGATGAGGTAGGAGCATCAAAAGTAAGAAGCATAAGCAGGCCCGCATTCATCCTCAACACGGATAAGAGGGACCATCATAGTGTGGCCATCGACTCCTGCGCTTCATTCTTGAATGGCAGGTCCAGATCTGGGTAGCCCAGTTGAAGCCCCACATGATTCAACGCAGCGGTTCCCAGCAGATGAAATGAAATGAATAGCGCAAATTGCGTCTTAGGGGCCTTCCCACACACCATCTTACAAGTGTGGCGGGCTCTGCCCCCACCGAAGTATGCCATCTGGCATGACACTCGGAATGGGGTTGTGCTTGCCCACAAATACCTTTCAGATCTCCAAGGCCTCACCATACATCGCGAAACAACCGAATCGAAGAACCCGTGCGACACAGCGTCTTGGAATTCATGATCTCCCGGACGGTGTTCTGGCGCCTCACGAAACACCCAGTCGGTTTGCAAACTATTATCCGGGGCACCCTCAAAGCTCTCTTGCAAACGTTGGGTTCTACTGCTGCTGCTGCTACTACTACTGCTGCTGCTGCTGCTGCTACTACTACTACTACTATTATTACTACTACTACTACTACTACTACTACTACTACTAGTGCTACTACTACTACTTTTTCTACTACTACCACTGCTGGAGGCAGCCGGATAAGCTGTAGCAGTACAGTTTGCCGGTGGCAGTGGCATTGGCAGCACTCGAAGCAAGAGAAGAAGCGATAGGAGCAGTCGTGTGTAATCATAGTCGTAGTAGTAGCAACTGTAGGAATCGTAGTAGGAGTACTAGAGGTAGTAGTAGTAGTAGTAGTAGTAGCAGCAGTAGTAGTAGTAGTAGTAGCAGCAGCAGCAGCCAGTAGCAGCAGTAGTAGTAGTAGCAGCAGCAGCAGAAGTAGCGGTAGCGGTAGTCGTAGCAGTGGTAGTAGCAGTAGTAGTAGCAGCAGCAGGAGGAGGAGGAGTAGTAGTAGTAGTAGCAGCAGAGTAGTAGTAGTAGTAGTAGTAGTAGTACTACTAGTAGTAGTAGTAGTAGTAGTAGCAGCAGTAGTAGTAGCAGTAGTGGCCGCAGTAGCTGTTGTCGTTGTTGCTGCTGCTGTTGCTGGTTGTGGTGGTGGCAGTGGTGGTAATAGTTGTCGTTGTCGCAGCGTGAAGCATTTTCGCATCGGGAGTTGCAGCAATGTCGGCATTGGTTGCGTCAGTGCTGGGCCTCACCAACCAGCTCTGCTGTTGCGTCATGGTCATCTCGCTCCGCAGCGCGTCCTAGGGACTGGCAGTCGTCTTGTCTCCTAAACAAAACTTGTGAGTTCGAGCTCTTCAAACTCGACAATTCAGGTGAGCTCTTCACGGCTGCGACACCTCTTATGTTAATGTGCATTCCGGATGCTCCACCCTGGATCGCGCCATCCGAATCCTTCAGGTGTCATGCGCAAGTAAGTCGCGCCAGCCATCACTACGGCCACCCACGCCACCCAAAACACAGCAAACGACAAGATCAAGACGAATGGTGCAGGATAAAAAACGATGCGCCCAACAAAACACCCTTGAAGCCGTCAGAAAACACCTACAACCACGACTGCAACAAGAAGAGCAGCTAGAAAGAACACGAACGTTGAGATAAAAGCAAAGGCAGAACACAGTGATTGGGCTCGACCGACGCATAGCTACATATCACTGCCTCTTGCACGTCGCGCTCGCTCACACACACATGTGCTTTCCGTTGTAGGACTCTGGGAAGCAGGCTTTCTCATCCCTGCCTCCTCGTCTTTCTCCTCCGTATCTTCATCTTCTTCATCTTCGGCTCCGTTGCCATCACCACGATACAGCGCTCGAATGTCGATGTTGATGAACAGGGTTCGAGGGTCTGGGTACAACTCTTGAAAAATCGAGTTGCCTCAGATTCAGCAGGGCAAACGCAAAGTCGCTCAATCTTCTATGCCATCTCAAGGGTGATAAGGGTTTAAGACCTTTAAGGTCTAGGGTGTAGGGCTTGAGGTTTTGGAAAAGGTTTGGTGTTTAGGCCCGTTTAGGAAAGTTTAGGCTTCGGGCTCCTGATCAGGGCACCGTTTTCTCGGTCTACCACTGCCGGCTTGTGCGCGAGTAAGGAGGTCGTTTGCCAATACTCGCGGGCTCGTGAGTCCTTTATGGTATAACTATAATAATTTAATAAGGAACCCCCAAAATAATATAGGTGATTTTTTGAAGCCCCTGTATTAGGTTCTGTCACCTGCGACCCCAGGCCGCTGGGCTGGGAACGCTCGCACATTGGAGCTGACAAGAGGAAACTCCTGCTCATCTCTGTACTTTGATTACCCGTGTGGCTCTTGCTTAACTCCTCTGCTTCTCAGTCTTGGCGCTAGGCTTGTGATTGCTCTTGCCAGGACTTGCTTTGGCATTGTCCCGACTACCGTGTTTGCAAATGGTGACTTTATGCCAGAATCGAATCAGGCTATTATTCTTATTATTATGATTAGCATTATTATTGTTATTCTCATTATTACTATGATTAGTGTTATTATTACTTTTACTATTATTATTGCTGTTATTATTACTTTTCAAGGCTCATGGCCGGACTGCGACAGACCTGCCGGCCAGGGGGCGCACACAGGCCAGCTCTCCTGCCTGGATCTGGGTTTCCTCAAAGGGGGAGCCCTAAACCCCGAAGCCCACATAGGGTTTAGGGTTTAGGGGTAAGTGAGTTCGGGCCCCTGATATCATGCCTGCCTGAGGAATTCTGCAGCTCAGCAGGACGGAGGGACAACGCCGCTTGGGGTCGGGGCTTTGGGCTCTTGGCTCAGGGTACAGGGTTCAGGGCTGCGATCTTTAGGGTCCAAAGAGCCATTTTGGTTGCTAGGGTTTGCATTGAAGTTTAGGGTTTAGGGTTAGTTTTGGGGTGCTTTCTCAGGAGTTCAAGCACTCAGACAGAAAGATCAAACCCCAGTCCTGCGCATAAGGTTCATCGCTCTGCTGCATGAAGGCCAGAAAGTCTCTGGCATATTCCTTGAAGCCAACTTGGTACTGTGCAGCAGTGTCATGTACCATCATCCATAGGCTGTAATTCTTCAGCTGTATGTCAGAACGTTGTGGCTAGGCTATATTACTTCTGTCATGGTGGTTCCGGGCATGGCTTCTGCAGACCAGGCTGTGGCTAGCAAAGGCCATCGCAGAGAGCAGGGGCCAAGGCACCAAGCACATGTCGGATGAGAACACATGCTGAAAGATGATATATGATAGGAGACAACCGTTTAGACCTGAAAGCAAGCTAGCATCAGCCGACCTTGGACACTGAAAACTCAACAGCGAAATCGTGGAACTTCTCGGTGACCTTATCGTAGACTCCGCCAGATGGTTTCAGCTCGAACCCTATACGCGGACAACCCAGGCAAGGCTGAAACAAGGCCCACAAAGGTGTTTTCAACAGACCTCGTCCTGGCTCCCCCCCATGCTTCACCCTCGGCGCAAAGCCCGAGAGTGGCACTTTACAACATTTACAACCATGCTTACGGCTTCCTCACCCCACTTACCCGCTAAGGCGTCAGGGAGTCGATGTACATGCGGCTGGATCCGGGCGAGTTCTTCAGGCACCGGACCAGGGCGTCCCCTTCCAAAGAGAAGGTCTCTGCAAAGGTCTTGGCAATCAACGCGCCCTCGTGAATGAGACCTCCGGAGGTTTTAGTGTTGAGGAGTTTATGGTTGCCATGCGCATCCAAGCCTTTCAGTCGGGCTTGGGTTTGGGGTCTCCTTGGGTTTGTTTTGATCCGGCCCATGAGACCTCCAGGTTCCATGTGGCGCTGCTCCACCCCCAAACATACGAAAATTCTTCCCCTCCCAGTTTCTACAGCCTGCTCCACAGGTTTCGAGTTCCCTTGCTGCTCGGACTGCTTTCAAAACCCAGCTGAATTTGTCACTTCAGGAACCCAACCATGCAAACACCGTGACTGCAGGCTTGCCCAGCCTTCTATATACCCTAAACCATCCTAAACCCGAAACCCTAACCCTGCCTTCTATGTAGAGGCACGCCTCGGAAAACCAGCGCACTCCCTGCACCTGTTCAGGGGCCCGGCCCGTGGAAAGCAGGGTGTAGCTCCCACTCGTGGTGACGTCCATCTGGGTAGCCCAAGAGTTGGTGGTAAAGACATTCTCCTTCCGCTCAAAGACATGCCTCTCAAGCATGGCGCAGATCTCGGCGAAGACCTCAGGGAAGACGGCCTGGCAGAGAGACAGTATGGGGATTTGCTCCAAAAAGCCGCTCCGCTGGCTCAGGTAGAGCTCGTGCTGCAGAGTTTTGGAGATCAGCCCATCGTCGAAGCTTATGGCCGATGTCTTGTCCAACCTGTAATCCACGAACCTTAGCTCGTTTCGGGTGGGGTCGGGGCATATCCCCAAAAAACGCAGATTGCTCTCACGTTGTGAACAAAGCCAAGAGGCTTCATGATCTGGGTTTCGGGTTTAGGGGTTCGGGGAGTTTAGGGTCTAGGGTTTAGGGTTTAGGGTTCAGGGCAGTTTAGGGTTAAGGGTTTTGGGTTTAGGGGCCAAGAAGCTTCATGATGAGGGTGATGAGCTCAAAGGGGGTGTTTTGCCGTGTCAGATACAGCCGGATCTCCCGTCGCTGTCGATCCCTCACCTCGTTCATAGCCCGGAGCTCGATCAGGGTGCCTGAATGAGATAGATAGATAGATAGATAGATACTTATATATATATATATACATACTATATTCTAAAACGCTACATAGCATGTGCTAGTTGCTAGGTTTGAGGTTTCGTGTCAAAAAATACGGCCAACCGAGGGTGTGGACTTGCACGAAAACCAGACCCTGAACAGCCCTGCGTGCTGACGCCTGCTACATGTCCAAGCCAGACCCTGGGACATACAGTAGCTGACACGTGAACGCCATCGGTGCCCTAAGCTCTCAGCTCTGTGAGCGAAGGGTACGGCCACAGATACTCGATCCGACCTCACCATCAATGCCACAAAAAAATCGGTCAGAGACGGGGCGCTAGAAATCTTCGATACCGCCGTACCGAGAACCATGAGCACCATGATGTTGATGCAGATGTCCACAAGAAGCTCTCCACCGTTGTCTGGTGCTACACGCGGGGGTGCCGGAGCATTGATGACGTAGCGGAGCGAGTGCATATACCTGGGCATGCAGGCCCCTAAAGCCCTAAAGGCTCCACCTTCCAATGCTTCAGAGCGGAACAAACACGTGGATGCTTATGATGACGACGGTGACGAAGATCCAACAATCGAACACGATGGGAGCGGTGATGACGGCAGCAACAGATTCTCTCCAATAGCGCTTTCGACAACGACGAGAGTTTGTGCGAAAGCCATGCAGGTAGGCAATTGTCACAGTCGATGTGACAATGGCGGGTGCAACATACATAACAATGGATACAGTGGGCAAGAACAACATGCAAATTAAGTAGAAGTATCTACAGCCTTTCATCGCGAAATGATGGTCGCACTGTTTAGAACATCAGTTACACAGACGGAGACATGGAACGGAAAGCAACAGCGTCAGTGCCAGTAGAAATAACAGAAGTAAGACAGGTACAAGCTGTGGTAGACGCCAGCCAAACCCTTCAAACAGAAAAAGATGTTGAGGTAGCGGCCCAGGGTCCAACCCTGAGGTCCTAAACCGATGGCCAACTACTGACACTGAAGGCTGATCCTACTCGAATTGAGGCCCTAGACCCCGTAAGCACCCTAAACCCTAAACCCTAAATCCTGAACCGACCCCGTAAGCAGAATTATTGGCAAGGTGCTGGGTAAAAGCGGCGACCTCCGCTGCATTCGCGATCTCCAGCCAAGACTGCTTTCCCTCGTCCTGTGAGTTGCGTCCAACGAAGTACCTCTCAATCAGGGTTTAGAAGATGTACCAAAAAGGCTTTAGACGGGGATAATAAGGGTTCTGCTGGAGTTTGAGAAGAAGAAGCCGAACATCTTACTCCACAAGCTTGGAGAGATATGCTTCTGTGGGGTTTATGGGTCATTCCAAAGGAATGGGAACTGAAGTTATAACGGTCTCTACTCTCTGCTCATCCAGTGTACCGTATTATCGGCTGAGAAGGAATCCTGCTTAAAATCATCTTGTGCATCACAGTATAGAATCCTTGAGGTACGTTGCAAAATCTGGACTTTGGTCAATCCACAAACATTTGCGGAGGTGCCGATGCCTGGTTTCGGCTTCGGGCCTCTTGGCGTTGGCTCATGGATTTACACAAACTCCTCGAAGCAAAATGCAGTTACAGACCAATTGGATGGTTTTGGCCATCGCAGTAAACCGTCGAAACGAAAAGAGGCTCAGAGGCTCCAGATTTTGAATGACACCGCAACTAGGAATCTGCCCTTCTGGGAAGGCTGCGGTGTTACCAGCGCTTTAGGGTTTTAAGCCGTTTAAGGCGGTTTGGGTTTCGAGGGTTTGGGGGTTCATGCCACCACGCCTCTGCAACTCCACTGCACCTACGTGACGTAGCCGTGAGGTTGAAAATGCCTAGGCCGGGGGCACCATGCGCAGGACAGAAAGTGGGAGGTCAGCGTGATCAGCATGGCGGTGTTGATGATCCCCTTGGCGTCGAACTCGCAGCATGGGACTTCCAGGGATCATCAAGCACGAGCTTGCAAGAATCCTATCTTCCGCAAGGTCAGGAACGAAAAGCTTGGCTGACCAAACACGACACAAAACCCTCGCAGGAGCCGGTGCAAACGACCGAACACTAGAGGCTTAGAGGTGCGTGCAAGAAGCGGCAATGAAGAGAATAGACTGACGGCCAGTGTACGCGACAAGCTCCTGATGCAGCATGCATCGTATGTGAACACGAAGAAGCAGAAGCGTCGGGCTCATCTGCACAACCGCCAACTACCATCAACAGGATTGTCTCCATAGTCCAATGTTGATCATTATCGCCACGAGTCCCTGGTCATTAACTTCCGTTATCACCATCGTCATTGCAACTACAGCTGCTACTGTCGGAAACTTCGTCTACTCAGTCTTCCCCGATCTTGCACTCAATGGGGTACTGTGGAGATGCATCAACAACATCGTCCCAGGCTCTCGATTTTTGCTCTTTGTCAACCCGCTCCCCACATGCCCACGCGTGAGCTCTCCCCCTCAATGGCCTCGACAATGTCTTTCAGCCTGCGCACCTCCAGCGAAATACTGCTGACAGTTTAAGTAGAAGCGGAAATGAGCATAATAACTCAACGGTTATGAAGAGATTTGGTCAGACAGGGCTCAGACTTGCAGCCGTGACACGGGGCACGGAACCCTCAATCCCAGCAAAACTTGAAAGATCCAACAGCATGAAAGGAGGGCCAGTTGAAGAAAAGCACACCCAAAGGGAAAACATCTCTCCGAAAACACCCCTTGACCAAGTATGCCTTCAGATCGAAAGAACGGCTCTTTTCTGAAACTCAGCGCCGGCGGAGTGAATGGGGGCACACATCTTTGCTCGGTGCTCGGCAAATTAGTCTGTGCGCATGCGTGCTTCTTAAGCGGTCATCTCATCTTCGGCCCTCCTCATGCACTGCCTGCCACTGCCTGCCTATCTTCCGAGTGTCAAAAGCTGTTCAGCTATGCGTTTTTGCGGCTCGTTTTTGTTGGACGTGTTTTGCTTATTGCTACAGATGCTGCTAATGATTCGGATGGTGTTTTGGCTTTTGGAACAGCCAGCGCTGTCGCTGCTGGAACCTATTGTTGTGATCCTGACGACCTTGTATGAATGCTGGCCCGGTACCGCATGGTTTTGTGTGCAACCTCGTTTATGCAGGAACATAAGGAGGCCGAGACATCAGAAACCACCCCTCTCGGGCCTGTCATGGCCTGTCAGCAGGGGCACAGGGACAGACACCCAAACATCAATCGAAGGTCCAAACCAACCCGTGCATGTCTGCAAAATTCCGAAGCCCTCTCCATGCAGCCCGAAACCATAAATTGCTTTTCAACCCGGGAGCTCCTCCCTGGATCCGAACCTCTCCCAAGATTAGATGCGACAGGCTGTCCCCAAGCTCCCCCTCCCCACGGCAGCGACGTTTGTCGCTGCCCCAGGTGTGCTGCGCTGACGTGCAGGATTGCATTCACTGCCTGCTAAGTAACGACGAGCACCATCACAACAATGTGGGTCTCTCTTGTCCAAAAGTTCTGGAACAATTTGTCCGAATTTTGGGTTGCAGATCCTTTTGGCTATGGCACATCCACCTTGAGAACCAAGCGGTTCACAACCAGGCCGTTGTAGTGGTACAGGATCTCTGGCGACTTGTGGACCAAGCCCCTGGGCCCTTTGGGAAACTTCTGGCCCTTCATGAACAGCACATCCCCTACACCAACCTCGGTCCATAGCGTAGGGCTTCGGGCTCCCTAAACCATGTTCCCTAAACCCTGGTGATAAAGGGTAATTAGCCTTGTTCCCTTGAATTCAGATACTGCCGCGGAAGCCTCAAACTAGAAAGGGGCAAAATGGTACTACTGGAAGACCCAGCAACAGCGCAGACCTCCGAAGGATCTTTGATAATGCATGCATTGTTGCCGCAGTTTTCCAGCTCCCAGAAATCGACGTTTGCATCTGCTGCATACTCCGTGCCTGTCGAACAGCTCAGGGTGTAGGTGTGTATATGTGCTAGACGTTCAGGGCTTGGACTCTCACCTCTCCATACAAGGCTTGAGGATTATGGTTGAGGACGAGTGGTGCCTCCCGAGTTGTAGGTGACAATGGCCCTGGCGCAATAGTTGTCGCGGTGCCACCTGGTGCAGCTGTTTTCTCCAATGATTTCAAGCTTGAAGTCTAAGCCATCGCTCCATGGGCAGAGGCTGCGCACCGTCGCGCCCACTTCGAGGACGTCGCGGCGGATGGCCTCGCACACGTCCTCCGGCAGCTTCACTTTGACAAGGAGCTTGTCAGCTACGGCGACGAGGTCCTCCTTGGCCGAGACTCCTTTGACCTTGATGTCGTCGTCCTCACCGAACTCCCCTCGGTTTGCAACTCGGTCCACGACGTCTTGGCAGTCCTTCCACGTAGGCTCTCTCGATACCAACAGGCCCTTGTACTGGAAGCTTTCTGGCCCAAGCCAGTCTTCCAACTTCTTCGCCTTAAACAGCGGTGCATCCGGCAACGGCGTCGGTGCCGGCGGCGGCGTGCTTGCTTTCGGCAACTCCTTGGTTGCTTGTGTTGCGAGGCGAAGACCTCCGTAAGAGGAGCTTGTATTGGCCTGGCGCATGACCATGACCATGGCGGCTGCACTGAAGCAAAGCTCCGCCCGCCGGACGGCGGACCACATCGGCCGCCACGAACTAAGCCAGGCGGCTGCGAGATTCGACCACAACCTATGCACAACACAAGATGGACGCATAACAACAATCATAACACAAGTAAGAAGGTTAACGGATGTCGCGACACCACAATTATTTTTCGAGACGCGCGGCATAAATCGCTGAGCTGCACTTAGGCATCCACAATCGGGAGGTTCTATCGGCGTTCCACACCTGCCCCCCCCCCCCCCACAATCCCAAACACAGCAACCTAAATG